AAGTACTCTTGGCAATCCTGACCATCTCCCTAGGTTAAGTTTCATCTTATTTAAAGTTCATCTTGAATCACTACATGAATATTCTTTTAACGCATGAGATATAAAAAAAAAAAAAATCAGTTTTTCATGTGCTCTCCTTCTAATAATCTGCTTCCCCACAATACAGTGACAACCACTGGCACCAGTACCAGCGTTCACATTATCTTAATTTTTTCTTCAGTGTCAACTACAGTAACTTACAACACTTCTCCAGGCAAGTGTCACACCAGAAATTTTGCCTTCAACAGCAGACTGACTTTCTGAAAGGCCTGATTTAATATCATTAGTCTATGATAGACTGTTTTCTACAAAGAAGGTAACTATTTTGATTGAGATCTGGTAAACTGCTACTTCAAAGCACAACACCCCAGTCTCACCAAGCATGTGGAAGAGAATGCCTCATACCTCGCTTCCCTTCCTCTCGTTCAGGCCCTTGCTCTTAGGACGCTTCACCACAAAACAATGGAAAAAGTTTACCATGTGATTTTCTTTCCCTCCAGAACATGCTTCTAGGCTACTGTCACCCCTTGGTCTTTTTGTGGCCAAATGAAAGAGTCTCAAGTCAGATTCACTCTTTCTTTCTTCAGATCTCTCATCTTTTGTGATTATGATGCAAGCTTCCCTTAGAAGGCTCTCTTATAAAAACGCTGAAACTAAAACAATATGCCGTATCCTAATATCAATCCTCCTAAAGCTACAGGGGTCAACGGAAAGAGAAATCTCCCTGATGTTTTAATCATTCCTCCCCCTGCTTTTAAGTCCTAACTGCTTTGCTACTCAGATAAACAAACACACACAAAACATTTAAGTGTAAAATGGGCAAAAATCAATTAAAAACATTCATTGTGAGAAGCGATTGTCAATGTCGACTAAAAATTGCTTTTCAAGTCTTCTACGCTAAGAAATCACTCAGTTGTAGTTCAGTTACATTCAGAAGCTAGTGAACTTACGCAACACCCGTAGTGTTATTGTTCTGCAATATTGTTTCCACAATTATTTGCAAATGCATTCTGAACCATCACCCTTTTAAATGATGGAAATCTGGCAAGAAAAAAACAGCCCTATAAAGAGCAGTTTGTAAATAAGGTACAGAGTTAGAACCACTGAAGAACAACTTTGCCTGAAGTGGCTGTGGGAAGGCCAAGGAAGCTATGCACCAACCTGTGCAACAGCACCACCGGCCTGGACAGGGAGCTCGGCACGCGACTTGCAGACAGCTTCTGCAGAGCACGCTTACGACGGTGGAAGAGCACAAAAAGCAGAAGTCGGATGAAGCGGCTTTAGCAGAAAGGAAGTCTGGGATGCACATCAGAACAAGGTTCGGTCAGCCATGTGCCTTGTGTACCTCTCGCTCAAATTCCAACCAAAGGAGAGCGGATACACGCTGTCTTCTACCTGCTTGTGAGCCTGCAGGTTATTTTCCCATTTTTAACTTAGCACGAAGCATCAGAACATTATGAGGCTCGGTAGCCTCACAGCCATGCTCATGCAATGCAGCAACTGCCTGGTTTTGCAGGGCAGCTGCAGTAAACCAAAGCAGAAAGCAAAACTACACATTACATAAGTGAAGAGCGTTTTGATTCCTTACTGAAAAGGAAAAACCAGAACAAACTGCAAACAGCTACGTGATGACGTTATGGAACCATCGCGATGCTGTGATTAAACAAGGGGCAGCGGCAGGAAAAAAAGTCCAATTTGACTCACCACTGACATACATGAACTGAAACTCCCTCTGACAAGGTGAGCAGGAAGTCACTGGTTTCTGTGAGCAGTTTCTAGCCCTTGCAGTTGAGAAATCTCCTTACTCCACCTGTGTCACCATCCCCACCTCTGTAATACATCTCATAAACATCAGTTCAAGTCTGGCAAAGCCTTGTTAAGGACAGTTTGTGTCCGCCTAGAGATTAACACTACCCAAAATTTGAATTACTAATTTATACGAGACTTAACTAAACTACTTAAATGGTGACTAAATGCCATTCTAATTACAGAGCACACATTTGCAATTAACTGGCTTATTTCGGGAGTGAGAGAATGAACTTAGAGAAAACAGAACGTCGCTCATACATACACATCTCTGGTCTAGACAGGTTAAGTGAAGTCTGGCAATAAATTAATGCTAAAAATGAATGTCGCGATACAGTTCTGAGAAGAAACCTCTCTCCTACACCCTCCCCAAGGTAAAGTTTCCTCCACCGACTGTATTTAGAACAAGGTTGGGATCTGTAGCCCTTGTAATGCATTTGTAATTTGTTGTATTAATGTGTATTTCAAGGTGGTATTAAAAACAAGAAAAATAAAGCACTGGGGAAGTTACTGAAAATTAAGAAATTTAAGAGTAATGAAAGCACCACTATATCAGCAGTCAGTCAGAGGGGAAAACACCCAAAAACCACACTACCATACATGCTTACACGCACTTCTAATGGGAAAAAAAAAACTCCAACCAAAAAAAAAACAGAACTTACTGTATTTTTGCTTACAAAAAGCATAAGTCTCATCCTTTATCTCTGCTTAAGACAAACGATGAAGTTTCTGTGCATATATATAGACACATTTCTTCGTCACATTAGGTACACATTCAAAGCACCACTTTAACTGTGGCACGTCACTTTGTCCTTGTGGGTAAACTGAAGGAAATACTGCAAGTTATTATCAGAGCACAGACCAATACGCACGGTTCTGGGTATGTTTGCTTCAATTTCAGAATGACTAAGGAGCAACCCTTTCCCCCACAGCAGTGGACAGAGAACAGGTGATGTTCTTGCATTTTGATTCCAGTTTCTGTGTGGACAAGGCAGTAGCCGACCTTTAAAGTAAAATCTTTTTGACACTTGCTCTCCTAAGTAAAATTTCTATTTATTGGTCTCTGCTATTTACATGTTAGCTAAAAGACAACTAAAAAAAAGCAGCTATCTGAAACCAGCAGGTAACAATGCTCTTATATGTACAAATCATCAGCCAGAGATGCCAGTAATCTCACAGAAGTGAACAAGACATAAACATGATAAAGTACACCGGCATCAGATACCTAAATGCTACACTACCTAATAAAGATACCTAATGCTACACTAAAATACATTTTATCCAATTTCCTAATATTTCAGCAGGCAAGGACTTTAAACTACACGCAGACAATTACAAAGCAGAAATACAGTACTATTACTTTGGTGTCTGGTCAGAAATGAAGTTAGCATCGAATACCAGAAAGCTACTGCTACGAAAACACCTTGCATAAGAAGGTACGATCTGCCTTCTGGTGAAGATATAAAGCAGTGGCCCATCTAACTTCCAAGGGAGCTGCCCATACACTCACATGGATGTTTGTTTTTTTTTTTTTTTGTCTCAACATAAATATAGATCATGGATATCCCTACACATGGAAGAATTTCTTTCCTGGCATGTAATCTAAAGCCAGAGCGAAGCAGAGGGAGGTTGTAACGGACATGAAAAAACATGGATACTTCCGACAGCCTCGCGTTCGCTGATGTTTTGTCAGCAGGAGGTGGCATACAACTGCACGCAGAAGATTCTTGAAGGCTGTTATGCTACAGAATTACATCTGTACATAACCGGTTCTGTCTGAAGTTGACAACGTCATGGTAAAATAAGTTTCATTGCTTTTCCTAAAGTTGCCAGCTACGATTATTCCTGCAGGAGCCCTGCCTTTCCCTTGGCCCCAAAACATTAAGCAGCACTGCCTTTCGTCCTGCAGGACCCATCTGGCAAGCGAGTGGCTAGCATCTGAGCTGCCTGCAGAGCGCTGCTCCCAGGTTTTGGGGGTACGGGGTCCACTTGTGATCCCCCCTCTGTTTTTAGTCACAGCCCAGGCCAGGCGCTGCAGGTGAGGAGCGGCCGGGAGCCGAGGGGAATAAAAAAAAATAATAATAATTAATTGAATGTAGGGATCTGTAAGAATAAGAAGCGGTTTTGTGGAGGGAAAGCAGGCTGCAGCCTGCTGGGTGACCCCGGGCTGCCAGCAGACATCCATCCCCGGGCGGCCCCTTCCTCCTCCTCCTCCTCGCAGTCCCACCCGCTCCTCTCCCCGCATATTTCCAGCCTGCTTTAATTCCTGCCGCGAATTCCTCCCTCCCAAATTTGGGCGCAAAACGAGAAAAGGGGAGGAGGGAGACTGGTGGGGGGGGAAGAAAAGAGAAAGGGAGGGGGAAAAAAATTAAAATAAAGGGAAAAAAAAGGGCCGAGGGCGCAGCGATGCCTCTGGCATTTTCGCTTCCCCGCCGCCCTCGCGCACGATGCAGGAAGTGAGCGGGGGGCGGGGGGGCCGGGGGCAGCTCGCAGCGGGCCAGGGGACACCGAGGGACACCGGGGGACACGGATGGGACACCGAGGGGACCCCTCGGCCCCGCTCCCGGCCGCCGGGAGGGGTGAGGAAGGCAGCCCCCCGCCCGCCCGCCTCCATCATGGAGCCCCCGGCGCTCCCTCACGCCGTCACGGCCTCGGGCTGGAGACTCACCCATGGCGCCGGCAGTGTCGCTGCTGACGCTGGGCTCCGGCTGCTCGCTGCCCTCCCTCCCTCCTCCGCCGCGGCGGCGCGGACCGAGCTGCCCCCCTCCACCGGCCCTCCTCCTCCTCCTCCTCCTCCTCCTCCTCCTCCTCCTCCTCCTCCCCGCGCGCCGCCCGCCGATTCTCCAACGCTCTCTACGCCGAATCCGCAGAGGGGCCGCGGCGCTTCCGCACGGCGCCTACGCGCGCGCCGGACGCAATTAGCGTCCCTCCCTCGCCTCACACGCCCGCCTCCCCGAGCGCGCAGCGGATCGGTGCGGGGCTGGCCGCCTTCCCCACGTCTCTCCGCCCGCCTCCCGCGCTGCCGGGCCCGGCCGCCGTGTGTCCGCCCGCCCCCCGTGTCAGGGGAAAAGGGGCCGCCCGGCGGCCATTTTGGAAGCGGGCGCACGCCGCAATGCCAGCGCTCGCGGGGCTTGCCCGGACTAAAGATGGCCGCCGGCTCGGAGGGGCAGAGCGAGGCGGTTACGGTCCCTTCATTCCGTTCCCCCACCCTCCTTTTCACTAGGGCTATTCTCGGAATGCTGTTATGCCACGCGCCGCTCGCGCAGCCCAGCGAGCGCTGCGTCGCCTCGCGCTTCCTCTGCACGCCCGCTCACGCAGTTGGCGTGGGAGGATCCGGGGCCGCTCCCTCACGCTGAATCCCTGCTGAGGAGACCCCGCCTGGGGATGGCGCCGGGCTCTTTCCCCTCACAAAGGAGCGCTCGGGACCCTACTGAGGATCTCCGCCGCGTTCACGGAGCCGCCACCCATCTCCCCTCACAGCTCGGCGGGAAGCGGTGGCGGCTTCGGGCCCGCCTTGCCGCCCCTCAACGCCGGGGGACAGCGGGCAGCCCTCGGGGGAAAAAGGCGATTTCCTGAGGCAGGTGTGAGCCCTGCCGCCGGGACGGAGGAGGGAAGGGGCTGCCAAGGCATTCATCCTCGCCGCCAAGTCTCGCCTCTCTGGCCATCGGCGGGGGATGACTTGGCGCGCACGTCCCAGCAGCGAATGAAAACGCGTTTAAAAATAAATAAATAAATAAATACTGTTTGAAGGCAGCTGTTGGCCAGATAAAATCCTGCCAGGAGATGAATGCGCTGAAAATCACACTGCCAAGACAGTGTTTGGGCTGGGCTGGGGTGGTGCTGAGACCCTAAAGTGGCTCCTCAGGAGCACCCACACCAGTCAGGGCAAACTCGGTCATGGTGGAGAAGTGATCCTGGAAAAGCATGCACACTAACAGAGGAAAAATCAAACAAACAAACAAACTACTTTTGCCTTTCCTGTTCAACTATGTACCTCAATGTTGTATTTCCTTTATATACTCGGGGCATCTCTTTGGAGCCATTTAAACTCTTTGTAAGTTTCATGCTCAAACTGCATAGTGGATACCTATATTTATGATGTGTGATTTGAAACATAACACGCTTTCTTTTGTGTTAGGGATTTCTGAGCATGGTCTGTGCCTTGCCTTTTTCACGAGACACAGTACGTTTCACTAGTACAAAAACAAAACAAAACAAAAAAAGGTACTCACCAAAATGAGAAAAATACTCAAATTTGTTGTATCTATGGCTTAATTCCTTTCTGCTGTTATTAAAGGTACATTTTAAGAGCATGACCTGGTACTAGAAGGATGAAAGCAGCAACTTCCATTTCAGTTGTCAAAAGTGAAGATGGCAGTAATACAGTATTTTTGTAGGTAGGCTTGTAGCAAGGCAGAAAGGAGCAGCAATGAAGACGCTAAGATGGTCCTTGGTTCATTTTTGGCTTCCAGAAATTCTTTCTAATATCTTACTTGACTTTTTCTGGTGTATTTGATAAGCAAGTACTTTTCACAGCAACAGTGAGAAATGCATCATTTTTTTCAGAAAGATATGCAGCCCTGCGCAATGTGGTTCAGCACTGTTTAAGAACTGGAAGTGTTACAATGTACTGTGGTTCTTGGATGCCCAAGGGAAAGAGATTTTTATTATCATTGGTCACAGGACTGCCAAATGTTATCTCATAAATCTGTGTCTTTCACAATGGATGAGGTAAGGAATAACCTTTTTTGCATTCTGGTTGGTTTAGGTGGTAATGTCCATGGCAATGAGATACAGCTGCATTGCTTTCATGGTTATCTGAATACCAAAAAGAGACATTTTTACATCACAGAAGTTGTTCACTGAATACAGAATATGGTCCCCACAGCTCTCCCATAAAAATACATTGCGGGAAAACAAACAATGTGAGTAATACTTGTTTTCTTCTTGTAGCACAGGCTTCAAATTCCTCAAAAAATGTTTTTTGGTCTTCAGATATGCTGAGAAAATGGCTGAGGTATGTAACTGTTGGGGATCTCTTTAAAAAGTGACTTTTAAAGTAATTTTCTTGTACTTCATGGATTGATCATTGGGAAAAAACAAACAAACAAAAAAACAACAGTGAGCTTGCACCTTTGAAATCTACTGCAAAACTGGCACAGACTTAATAAGGAAGCAAGATGCAAGCCAGTGGGTTTTATGTGAGGTTAATGTCCCATTTTTCTGTGTTGTGAATAGCTGGGGGGGGGAGGTCTCTTTTCATACGGTAATTTATGGGGTTAGGAAGATTCTGCAAAATTGTGTGCATTTTGAGAAGAAATGAAACAAATGCAAATGGGTCCCTGAGGTTGAAAGAATACTGTGTTCAGTGTAAGATATAACAAATTCAACCTTTTACATTCCTGCGGTGATCTGCTGTTCTGCCTTCAAAAAGAACAGGCTTCCCTAAATCATCACCAAACTTTGAAGAAATGAACTCAGCAAGTAAATTTCAAGACTCTTCAGATTCTATGTAAGTTGATTTTTGAAAGAAGATGCAATTTTATTACTTTTTTTTTTTTGGTGAAATTAGTAAAACATTTTGCAAGGTTAAATACAGAGCGCTACCTGCCATAATGCAGAACCAGTTTGTGTCCTTCTTGTCCTCAGATACAGAAACAAAACCCACTCACCTTATTTACAAAATGTACTGACTAGGGTTGCTGCCAGGTTGGTTCCCAGCCAGCCTAGCCAGTTTTCATGTCTTCTTGCCAATGAGACATATGAAGACTACTTTGTTTTGTTTTGTTTTGTTTTTTAATGCAAGCAGATGTGACTCACTAGGTGAACCAGCTCCAGCATGGGATGTGTTAGAATTACGGCACATGTGCCCTGCTGCCTTACTCCTGCATGGCAACTGCAGTGCCTCCTGTGTTTGTAGGGTACAAACAGTGCGTTTCCAGACTGAATCGTGCTTGCAATGCGTGCAGCACCCTTCTGAGCTCCTGTGCAACTCGAGCAGGCCTTTGCACACCAAGCTTTCATTTGCCAAAACAATCAGTACGGTTATACCACATGGGTGGAAGTCCCAAACTCCCATTCCCAAAAACAATCTAGCTCTTTCAAGACACGAGGCTGAGGATACTCAACAGTAAATAATAAGCACAGTATCCTCCCTCAAACCCATCCTTAAATCTCAGCTTCATGGTGATGCCTATCAAGATCTTGACTGCTCTTTGACCACTGCTTGTCATGCTGACCAGTAGTGTCTTCTGTCTTTACACTCTGTTCCCTCCTAGACATCTGTTGCCTTGGATGATTTGGATGATTGGATGATTTCTGTGTAAATACTCTCATTCTGCTTTGTTCCCTAGCACAAGAAACAGACCAATACAATGGTAATACAAAGAGCAACAATAGTATGAGGCATCTGGTGTTACATCTGATTGGGCCCTGATGTCTCATCTGTCAGCCCTTTCCTATTTTGAGATGTGCAAACTGTAGGACCACTGGTGTGAGTAAAGGCTTCCAGAACCAGGCCCACAGCTGCTCTGTATTCAGAGAAGGGCTTTCACCAAACAGAAACCCCTTGCTAACTCCAAAGCCGCACAATAACCTGCTATCCCAACTATTCCCAGTGCTGCCACCATAGCTGTCGTCTTTGGCTGCTACCTATAACATGATCCTAGGAACATGCGAATGAAACAACATCAAATGTGCCTCTCTGGGCCCCCTCCTTAAGTCCCACTGTTTGCTGGTTAAAAAATGCTCTGCAGCACTAAGAAAGAGCTACGTTCATCAGCAAATGCTTATACAACGCTGTCAAAGTTCCACACACAGGCTTCTATTAAACAATTGCTATGGGAAAAATACAGCATCTCTTGTTTTGTAGTGTGTTTACTGTATCGTCCTGGTATACATCCATTACTTCAATTATCTGAAGAAAGAGGCTTTGATAGATTATGACCCAGTGATGTGATCCTTGTGAGAGGCACACACATGCACTGATTGTTGAAGATAGAAAATGGTTGTTTTGTGCAGTCATGGTTGTGTAGTGGAGAATATAGATCAGTAGAAGCAGGAAGGCAGCCTAGCCCTTAGCCTAGCGCTCGCAGAAGGCGAGTCAGTGAACAGGCAGATCATGAGATAGATTTCCTACTCCAGAGAGTCGGAGCCCGAAGCAAATGCCCCTCTCCCCTTTCCTCCCCTCCACTGGCAGGCAGGACTGACTGCTGGGAGGACCAGAAGCAAAGCGTGCAGCACGTGGCCGGTAATTCCAGCTCTCTGTTTGTTTATTTGTTAATAAGTAAGTCCCACTTGGGCTGGGCAGGTCTCGGTGAATCCTTAAGAGACTTTCTGCATACCCAGGTGTGTAATCATTAATGCCCAGCACTGCAGCCAAGCGCACACCCCAGCGAATCGTTGTGCCTGAGCAGAGTCCTGAGGGCGCAGAGGGTCTGCACACCCCGACACCTTGGGACAGCCCCGGCTGCCTGTTTGCATTAGCAAATGCTCCCTACTGTGGTAGAAGGTACTGCCATCATCCTTTGCATATTAGATTAGGGAAAAAATACTTAGACGCTTAATGCAATGTGGCACTGCATTATATTTTTCTTGTTGAAGGGAAGAAGTTTTGCTCTCCAAAAGAAAAATGTATTTTTTAGCTTAGAATGGATGTCCTGTGCAAATGCTTGACAGATTTATTTTTTCCCCCGACATTCTGGAAGTAAAATAGTATAGAAGAAAAACAAATTAATTTCCTGTATAAAGTAGTCAGCTCTTTATTTTATTCTCCATACTTACATCTGAACGTTGATTCTACAAAAGTAAATGACGGGTGCTGATAAGAAAGTAGTGCTGTGTACTTTGTGCAGCTGCTGTGCTTTGCATTTCCCAGTTGTACGCTTTTGACTAAAGGACATCACACTAGGAGTATTGAATCAGGCTTTGTCCTTGCAAACAGCAGAGCAATGGTATGCCCAGTACTTGAAATTGGACCTGAGGCATTTGCATAGGTGCAAATGTTGCAAAGTTGCAGCAAAGTTTGGGCCCCTCGCTACAAGAAGGACATCGAGGTGCTTGAGCAGGTCCAGAGAAGGGCGACGAAGCTGGTGAGGGGCCTGGAGAACCAGTCCTACGAGGAGCGGCTGAGGGAGCTTGGCTTGTTCAGCCTGGAGAAAAGGAGGCTCAGGGGCGACCTTATTGCGCTTTACAGATACCTTAAAGGAGGCTGTAGTGAGGTGGGGGTTGGCCTGTTCTCCCACATGCCTGGTGACAGGACGAGGGGGAATGGGCTTAAGTTGCACCAGGGGAGGTTTAGGCTGGATCTTAGGAAGAACTTCTTCACTGAAAGGGTTGTTAGACATTGGAACAGGCTGCCCAGGGAGGTGGTGGAGTCACCATCCCTGGAAGTCTTCAAAAGACGTTTAGATGTAGAGCTTAGGGATATGGTTTAGTGGGGACTGTTAGTGTTAGGTCAGAGGTTGGACTCGATGATCTTGAGGTCTCTTCCAACCTAGAAATTCTGTGATTCTGTGATTCTGTGAAAGTGTTACTGATTGTACAATTTTCTGGCATTTTAATCACTTTTGTCCCTTTTCATTTACTGGGAAACATGCAGCTCTGGCTACTGGGCTCCTCTCTGGCCCCACTGCTAAGGCGATGGGCCTCTTCCTTCACACCCGCAGGCTGGAGCCTCGACCAGGACTGGCCTGGCCCCTGTGCCCCAGAGCTCAGGGACACCCCGCGCCCTCCGTGCAGGCAGGCTCGGGCTCCATGGCTGCGCTCACTCTCCTGACCTGCACGTGACTTGGCTCCCAGATCCGCCATGTGGGACTGCACCTGGTACTTCCGTGGAAGGAATAAGCAGAAGGAATTGCTTATCAGGACCATCAGGAGCCTGCCTCCAGAGAGGAGGACTTGAACCTATGCACTTCTCTGATCTACTTTACGTGCACATGTAGTTCGCCCTGTGCGGTCAGACCATCCTTCCTGTTTTTCTGACCAACTGCTTTGTATGAATGAAAGAAGTGGTGCCTTGATACCCAAACATCCACCCTGCATTTCCTGAAAGACATTTTCAGATATTCAGTTGTACTGTTCAACTGCAGATATTCAAGGTGCTTTTGATACTTTGGTATCAAAAAAAAAAAGGACTTTGGTACTTTTCGGTTCCATCCTAAAAACAGGTGTTGGATCCTTTGGTTACAGTCAATGAATGCAACCTTTACAGTTCACTGCTTGGCTTTGTCTCCCGCTTTACTCAGAGGATGGCTTATTTGTACCTGTCTTTTGGGCTTTGCTGGTAGTTTATCTAGAATTCAGCCATTAAGCTGAACATACCTATGCATGGCGCTCCAGTTAATCTAATACAGCTAATCTGTCCCTTGCAACAAAAGGTGATGATGTCACTTATCAATAAGTAAAAAAGAGTGTTTTTGTTTGTTTGTTTGTTTGTTTTTTTGAGGCTATCTGTAAAGATTGGTATCTGTTTACACATGGGACTGACTGAAGCCTTCAGTGACTAGTGACAGCAGAAATTTTGCAATTCTTTTTAATGGTTATACCATCTCCCATCGTCAAATCTGTTATCAGAGAACATTTCTCAAATCTGTTTTTGATGAAAACAGAAAACAGCTGAAATATGTCTGTAAAATACAGAAATTCAAAACATTATAATTCAATCCAGTTAATTAAATTATGAGCACACAATAGGGAAAAATTAAAAACTGAAATGTAGATCAAGGAAAATGATGAAACTTATTTCAGATTGCTTTTTCTTATTTATATTCTGTGCTGAACTGCTCTTTTACAGGAGACTAGTACTTAGTGATTTTGCTCTGATGACTGAGCAATACTAGAAATAGAAAATAGTTCTAAAAGAATCAGTTATATGGACGTTTGGGATTCATAATGGAAGATAATGGTCTTTTTGATGATGAATCCACTGTATAAGCCAAGAATATTTCAAGAGCTTGTTTCAAAGTAGATCCATTAGCATAACCTGGGACATATCCTTCATCTTCCAGATAAGAAAAGTTCTTGTACCGTTGTAATAACAAAGTTAGAGTGTTGGACAATTTTTGAAGTAATTATGTGCTTTTCCCAGAGCCAGACTTCAGACTTGGTTCCTACAATGTATGTATTTTCAAGCAAAATACATAATCTGTGTTAGTGTAGAAAAATTGGGGTTGGGGTTATTTGCATAACATCATAGACATGTTTTAAGAAGCAGATGTTTTCTTCCACTTCTGGATCACAGGGCCATTAAATGCCTTTTTGGACTAACTGGCAGCATGGACTGTAGCTATCCAGAATGTTTCTAAACTCTGTGCCAACATTTCTTCTTCTTCTACTATTTTTTTTTCCTGAAACTGTCTAATGCAATGCCCAATGACCTGTAAAAACTGTGGCATATATGAAGCATGCACTATTTGGTTATAAACTGATAGCCCTTTTTGATAGTTAATCTTGTGCTCTTCAGAGCGCATGGTAACAAATCTGCTACACAATATGCTAAACAGAACCACTTTTTTTTTTTTTTAATATATACCTGGAATACCTTGTAGCAAGATTTTATGGTTTATGTGTATACTAATGCTTATGATGCCCATGCCCATTTTCAGGTATTGCTTACCTCCACCAAAGACACTGCAATAGAAATAGGCTATTGGATGTGACATTTCCTTACAGACTCATGGCAATGTGCTTTTTATTTGCTTGCAATATCAATCTGCAGAGCTGAATGTTACTGAAAGAGTGTTCAGCTGTGTAGGAAGCAAATCTTTCCCTAGGTTACGTTTCTTTACGTGTCCCTTTCTTTAAAGTATTTTGACTTCTTTTCTTGCAAAAATAAGTGCAGTATTGTTCTACCTGCAATATATTATTATGGAACGTAGGCAGTTACTGATGTGTTGACTAGCTGGCCCCCAAATTCAGCGTATTTAATTCAAGTTTGCAAGCTAGCGATCTCCCATTTTCTATCAGTTTATTTCTTGGTGGTTTTCTAGTTTATTTTATTTATCTCAACTATTTAAAATGTCTGCAAATATCCCCATGGTAATGGAATTCACTTGGCAGCAATATATAGCTATATGAATCATGACTAGAGAGTAAATAAAGGGTTTAAGGCATAACTAAATACCAAATGGAAGTTGATAGGTTTGGTAACAGCAGAAGGTGTTTAGTGTGACTATACTTCCACACCATTAATATTCTTTCCTGGAAAAGCAGAGTTCTAGAAAAAGTTGTATTGGGCACATTTGAAAGTTTGGTCCTGCTGTTTGGGGAATGTCACCCAAAAGAAACCCTGAGGCTGAATTCTGAGAGCAAAGGTGGCTATTGTAATTCTGTAAGATAGAATTTGGGATCATTGAATTTTTTGTGATTATAAATCTGTTTGTGCTGTGGGCTATCCACAGTGGATATATGGAAAAGTAGTCTTTTAGAAGAGCTCTTAGCGGGAGGCCATGCTTTTGATATACTGCTGGCTAAAGCAGTATTTAGGGACTTTCAGAAGATCTACTGTACATACATGTACATATACTTCCAGCGAGTATACAAGTCACTGTTTTTCATAATAGTATGTAATGGAATAAGATGGCTGAATATTTGCAGAGCTTTTTTTTTTTTTTCAAAGGAACAGTATTCAATTTTCTTTGGCTACAGCTGGCAAAGGAGCCTTTTTAAGAGTATTCACAATTACCACAGCTATGAAAAAAGTGTCCATTCAACTTAATGTCTTGGATGGACCCATTAGCTACTGATGTCTTTTTGCATAAATGTACAGAGTTGTAAAAGTGACACAGGTTTTTAATGCAGGACATCGTAATCCATTGTGATAGCTATGGGGCTTCTCCTTCAAAACACAGAGGGGAGACTGTGCAGTGAAGGGTATCTTAATTCCATACCTAAAGTTCAGCAAATGGAAGAGAGAGCATTGAAAGACTTAAATAAACCACAATGTGATAAATCATAACGAAGTACAAAATGAAAACATTCAGTTTATTTAGGGAATGCTCACAAAGAAAGGAATACATCAGTCTTGGACCAATGCATACATTTATCCAGACTGCTGTTAATTCACAGTTTATTTATAAAATGATTCCATTTCTGATAACATCTGTGTATGGCAAGATGCCTAACCTCTGGGGCACAATGGGGAGAAGCTATTAAACTAACGTCCTCCTTTCTCTTTATCTACAGAGAAAGAAGTTGGAAGGAACCACAGTGTTAGGCTGCTGACTCAATTCCGGCAGCAACACCAGGTGGGTCCGACTGCTTTACGCCCATCAGAGGAAAGAGAGAGCTCCTCTGAAATGGAGAGGGCAGGAAATCGGGATGGGGGATTCTCAGAACAGCCAGCCAAAGCAAGCTGGAAGACCTATTCTGATACAAGTCAACACTTTGTTTTCTCTCATGGAGGAAATCAAACAAAAGCAATTGCAATAAGAGACTAAATCCAATCAGAAACTACCTGGTATGTTTTGTGTCAGTTTGCAATGAAAACTCCAGCTGTCTCCAGGTGGTACAAAAATTTGTGATTATTACAATTCTGCTTTTCTGATTGCTGACTGGGAAAACACTAACGCCTAATTTCTATTTGTGCACATTTTTGAAAGAGCAGTGCGTGCTAGTGACTAATGCACCTCTAAGGCAAAGTACTGATCTGAAACAATGTTCTTGTAATGCATTTTTGTGTACAGAAATTCCTGTTGCTGCCTATCACTGCCAAATTTATTATGGCTGAAAAAAATAAATCAGATTAGCCACAAAATGTCTTTCTCTAATAGTAATGACCTAAAATATATTTTTGATAATGGAAAAAATAACATATTGGTCATTTCGTCTGACAGATTTTACCACTTCCTGCCTGATTATTGAGGAATTCAGAATGCCTTTTGGCCAACAATAAGTATGTCTACACTAGGGAATTTCTTGTTCTTTTTTTCAGGAAACACGGCTACATTAGGGCTATTAATGCAGGCTTTCTCACCACCATTTATCTAATGCTGTCTGGGCTCTGTCACTTTTCTAGATCCCTTTTATCTGCTCCACAGTGGGCCCCTATCCTGCAATTAATTCCTCTTGGTACAGAGGTTGGCAGCACTCACCGCGGGGTCCCAGCCATTAGTGATATCTTGACGTAAATGTGAAGGCGATAGCAGCACCTGAGCTGGCAAACACTAGGCCGGCAGCTTGCATGCAGAACAAATTGGGCTCATTGAGATATGTGGCCACAAAGCCACCATTTACCCTTCTGTGCACATCTTGCTGGGGCAGGAGCTGCGTGCTGTGGGGTCCATGCCCTCCGCGGGGCACTCAATGTCCAGTGCAATCAGCTAGAAAATGGTCAATCTGCTTCCCCTTTTATCTCCTCCCAGTGTGAGCTGCGGAGTTATTTCGCTTTGGTTTTTCACTTTTCTGGAGTTTTCCTGCTCATTTCTTTCCTCCCCTCCTCTTTTTAAAATTATTTTATTTTTAATAAAACTTCAATTTGCTACAACAGATCACTTTTATTTAATAAGAACTAACACGTCAGCAAACGGAAGGGTGTCTTTCAGACTTCGGCGCACTAGCTTTCACTGAACACCACACATGTCCCTGGTAAATAAATTTGGAAATAAAGAGCACTAAACTGATAAAACAACGGCTGTGTTTTGCTGACGGCTGGCATCCCTGCACTACAGCTGCTTCTCCCAGCCCTTTGGGAGCTGAGAAGGGGACAAACACAGCGAGCTGTGCGATGTGGCTGGCACCTCTTCCACTCCACCAACCTAAAGGCGCGCACCTACGTGTACCTGCCCTCACCGTCAGTCCAGAGGCATTTCTATAGGTTTTGTAGCATCTTAACAGATTTTTAAGACACTGTGAAAGATTTTTAAGACACTACTTTTTGGGGGAGCTTCTCTAGAGCATCCATTTGTGAAAGTCCTGTAGGGGTGGTCACGCAGGAGGTCACACGGGATGACATTAATGAACTCTTTCAAGCATTCAGTCTGTCTCTGAGGAGACAACCTGACCGTGTCCCTCAGAGCAAGCCTTTTTATTTCATTAAGCATCTAGCCTAACAGGTGCAGCTATGCCTGCAAGCAGCCCAAAGCAGCCAGCTGTATTTCTAATGAAATATTAAAATCTGCAGTCATCAGGGGAGGGGACTCCTCACCAAAGACTGTAAATAAGAGAAGAATAGATGATAAACCTTGACTTCTGTCTGCTTTCCTGAGAAGCCCCGAGTGCTGTTCCTGGTTGGAGGGGAAAGAAGTCTTCTGCTGTGACCGTCGGGACTGGAGGTGGCCGTTCCAGGCTGGAGCTGATGCTGAAGGCCAGCAGTGCCAGGGCTGAACCTGCAGTGTGGCTCCCCGCCATGGGCAGTGCCCAGCGCTGCTGTCTAAATGCAGCCCCTGGTTGCTCCAGCCTAGTCCCACACATTTCCTCCTCCGCTGCTGATTTATGATGGCTTTTCCTCAGTCACACCCTGTTTGCCAGTGTCTGAGTCCTGTGAGGAGCCCTCTGCTTTAAAGTGGGTGTTGAAAAGGCGAGAGGGAACAGGAAGGTAGTAAGTAACTGGGTGATGGTTAATTAAGTTAGCCTTCCAGGAGCTAAAAGACAAGAAATCTCACACGCTGTAAGGAGAAGTCACTCCTCAGGAAATCCTTGTTCCAAAGGGGCAGGAAAACAAACCTCTCACAATAGAAAATATCTTCCCATCAGCAGCATTAGAAAATGATAAAGCAACCTAACCATGGTAGAGTGAGTCACCACTCAACAATTTGTCTTCAGTGTTTTCCCAGTGATTGCTTGCAAAGGCCGTGGGTTGCTGAGCCAGACTTCGGAGGCTCTAAGATGGGGAAGGCCATCGGAAAGTCCTGATGTAGTAAAGGCGCTGACTTCTAAATTTCAGATGAGCTCAGAAGCAGAGCATCAGCAGGAAGATCCACCTTCCTTGTTCTAAATTAAAGGCGTGCATTTTAGCAAATCTGAGGGAAGTGTGGTTGCTATGGATAAAATGCATGCAGAGTCCAAAACTCTGAATTCATTCTCTTTGCTGACAGAGAGCAAAGAAGGCAGAAGAAGTTAAAGCAGCCTGGTGCTGTCACATCCTCTGCAGAGATGCAGAGTTGGCTCTAGGCTATGCCATGGAAAATAGCTTTGAGTGCAGAGTTCCACTGCCCGCCGCGGTACCTGGCCTCAGCAGCCGTTTAGTCCACTGGAGTGACTGAAGTATGGAAGGTCTTCAAGCCATTATTCAGCTCCCTCTTTGTTACCCGTTTGGATTGTCCAAGTAATTCATTTACCACTTGTAATTCTGTCACAGTAGGAGGACTTGAGCTTAAAAATGGAAAGCCACTGGATCCTGCTGCATTTGTTTTAAAACTGACATCCTACAGAGGTGTCACATTCTCTTCCTTCCTGCAGATGTAGGCTTGTCTAAAATATCCACCCTCCTTTGCCATTCAGTTATCTCCGGTGTAGCACCGTTGCCTGTAGCAGCACCGAGAACAATTAAGATAAGACATCAGTGTTTTATCACTGTGTGGTCTAACCTTACTTAGCGCAAGTCTAGCTGATGTAATAAAAAAAAAAAATTATGCCTAACAGTACGTTTCCTGCCCTAAAGCTCATATTATTGCTATCGACAATCCAGCCACAAGGGATGTCTCAGTGATGGAAAATGTAATGGAGGAGAGGCTGGTGGAGAGCAAGGGTTGGGGAGTTACACTGGGGCAGCAGGCATAAGGACAGGAAAAAAATGCAGCAAGGTTTCATGTCCATTGTGCTTTTGTAACGACAAGAACAGTATTCCTGGGGAAAATGGTAGAAAAATGCTTAGGCAGTGTTAATCAACCTAATGGTTAGTGACCTCCTGATCTCAAGGGAATTTACAGCTTCCATGGAGCTCCCTTCAGTTCTGTTTTTTTCAAGACTGCAGAGATATTGTTTCATTTCTGTGTTTTGTGGTGGTTTGATTTGCTGTTACTCCCCCCCCAAGAACGATAAGCTGTGCTGTGCTCCTGTCCTGAGAATGTCCAGACGTGCTCCATACCCTTAATGGGATTATTTTTACTCTGTCTTAAAGGTGTTTTAGGTCTTCAGAGAAACTGGGTTTTAGCTGCATATCTTACAGGCATGTTAGATGTATAGAGACTGATGTCAGCTGCATACACTACTGAGTAAAGTATGTCAGAAATGTGTAATGTATGATAAACACAAAGATGTGCTTGGGGTTTCCACCATCTTTCTTCGTAGTGAGGTATTTCAGGACTTCAACTAAATGCACATGTCTTAAATTAGAGAAGCTTAGCGGGCTCAGAATATGTATATCCCCATTTCCCTTCAGCCTGTGAAGCTGCCTTACTACCAAAGCTGAGTAAAGTATCTTTATTGAGTCACTGTAAACAGCTCCTATTCAGCTCTCAACCCTGCAATCACACTACTGAGTGTTGTTGTTTGTTTTTTTTTTTGTTTTTGTTGTTGTTGTTTTTTGTTTGTTTGTTTTTTTCCCTTGCAGCTTTTTTTCTTTTTCGGAAATAAGAACCTTCTCATGCCCATTGATTTCATCATTCAGGAATTTAATTCAGCAGTCACCTTAAAAGGCCATTCATTTCGAGTTTAGGGAGGAGTGCATTTGCTTCCTTTGCAAAATGTGATGTCAAGGTTTATAGATTTTTTTTTCCTCCCTCAATTCATCTTGAAATAGGAAACGCAGAAAGTGCAGGGCCTGTAGTAGAACACAGCACACATTTATATGGGGTCGGCTAAATGAGCAAAACTGAAGGGATCGCAAGGGACACCTTGAGCACACTGGGTACTCTTTCTGAGGGTTACAGATACAGAGAAAGACATGGCCTGTTTTGGCAAGGTGCTGATTCAGGCTTCGTAATTAGCCAGCTAATGAGATCAAAGAGAGAAAAAAAAGTCAGATGAAAGCAAGGTGCTGTTGTGGCTGCAATTCCTCTCTGAAATATCTGGTTCCCAGATTACAGTGATGTCAGGCTGTGTCTGTCACAATTCCCGTGGGGAGGAGAAGGATAAAACAAAGGCCTGCAGGCTTCACCAAAGCACTTTTTTTATAGATTTCTCCACATTGGACCAGTGGCTGTAGATGAGGCTGGTGGCTCCACGGGTTATTAAAGTTGTCTGCACATCTCATTATAAAGCCCTGTGTACAGCCTCTTGTCACTTTTTTGGAGTTCAGCCTCTGGAACTGGGCCGCTTTTGGCTGCTCTCACCGCCTGAACATACACATGGGTATGTGACGGCACCGTTCAGATACAGGATAAAAGGCCAACAGATCTCACGCAGGTCAAAGGCTTCTGGAATGAGTATTTGGCATTTGGTACTGGAAGGTGTGGAGGGGGGAAGTGGGCTTTCTGAAAGGGCTCTGTCTTTTACGGTCCTTGAGCAAATTGAGCCAGAGTTAGCTAAGACAGAAGCCTTTCAATGTCTGCAGCTCACACGTGTTCAACAGAAACCTTTAAAATTTTAGCAGCTAACCTCCTCGATGATTTTGCCTGCCTTGTGCACAGTCTGGTCCAAATTTAAGATTTTTTTTTTTTTCTTGGGGGGGGGGGGGGGTTACATTTGTTACAAGGCTCTGTGGCAGGCCGTGCTTATGTTTAGATCTGAACTCAGTGCCAGGCACTGCCTGATTTCCAGCCAGCAACCCGGGGCTGGTAATCCTGGGCAATTCCCCTGGGCAAGCTGCTGGGGATAAGGAGCCTGAGAGCGGCACAAAGTAGACCCAGAGGGGGCAGGAGGGAGGGCAGGAGGTTTAAAACAGGAGCAGAGATGGGGCACAATGCTGATGCAGACTGCAAGCCAGAAGCCAGAGGGAACTGGGAAGGGAGCAGTGTGTGCACCAGAGCTGGGGGACCTGGGAAGTCCCCATGAGCAGAGTCTGGGGCTGAACCCCGTGAGGTGGCACAGGAGGAAGGCAGCATTATCTTGGATTTGCCAGGGCCAAGGATTTGCTAGGGCCGAGGATTTGCTGAGCAAGAAGATTAGGAATGTGTGGGAAGTTTAAGGAGCAGAGGCCAGGACTGGCTAAATCTGAAGTCCAGGACTGAAAGCTGAAGGCAAGAAAATGGGGCAGTGGTGTAGATAAATCACCCCTGGTTGCTGCCTGGGATTTGGTCACTATGCTCCAGAACTTGCACACAGGGCAAACTGTGGCTAATGTTACCCAGATGCTCCTCACTTCCTTTGTGATCAATATGATGCCTAACATGAAAAAGTGCTGAGTGCTCAGAGCTATAACTAAAGTCTATGAGGACTAGGTTTCTGCATATACAAAAACACATAATGTGAAGTGTTTGGAAAGGTCAGGTTTTAATATTCCAAATTGGATGCCAAAACTGAACGTATCTTTCATCTGCTCACCTTAGCTTTACAAAGAAATCATCAATATTTGTGAAGTACTCAAATTTTATAATACTGAGTGTCAGTAAAAAACCTACTTTGGGGAACAAATGATTCTTTCTTCAGAGTGAAGTAAAAGAACGCAGCCCAGTAAAGTCTCACGCCACAGTGAACAACCGGGAGAACACCAATCATGCAGTCATGCTCATTATATGGCCACCTCTCATTCTGTGTGCTGGCTGAAGCAGGGCTACTCTGAAAAAAGTTATGTAGCATGTCAATAGGAGCTGAGTCACAGTACATCCATGGAAGTGCTAATTGGAAAAACACCATCCTTTTCCTTTCATGTAATAGTAATTGTGTAAAAACAGTGTTTTTCCAAACAGTCCCTGCTTATATATCCCTATAAACTTTGCAAGAGGGATGCAGGCCATTGGATAAGGGCAAGATAATGGCTTCTTCCTTAGTTACCTCTTCTGCAGCCCTTGGAAGTCCTCCGTGGATCCCTAGAAGTCTGTAGGCCACATGTTGTAAACCAGTGTCACTGACTGTATAGCTCACAAAGGAAAAAAAAAAAAGTTAAATCAAAAGTCATTTTCTTGGTCTTTCTAGTAACATATGCTGCGTAATAAGGAAGTGCATGAAACATTCAACGCCCTTGCTGCTAGCAGTAATCTTGCAAGGAGGAAATGAGTTTGTTCTGGACTCTTCCATATCAGACGGTCTGCCTAAAACTTTGTCCCCCCATTTACTTTATTTGTTTTCTCTCCCTCAATTACCACTGCCATACTGGCTCTGGTTGACCACCATTATTGCAGCCCCAGCCTGAGTTAGGGTTTCAGTGTGCTGCCTTACCTCTGCCCACTTAGTCCAGCTCCTACCCTGCCCCAGCCTGTGCCGCCATCTGGTTGAAGTGCTCACATACTTGAGTGTTTCCATTCCATTGCAAATTGGGAGATTTGTTTGATTCTGCAAAAACAAACATTATGGAAGTGTTTGGTGCTTGGGAACTTCTGACACCGATGCATAAGGACCTGTAATTACAGCAATGTTCCCCTCCATCCACCACAGCTGTCTCCAGCAATGTTCCCCCTCATTAGAAATCTATCCTATAATTTCAGATTAGAACTGGAACATAAAGCAGTAATTGCCCCTTTCTGTTCGAGTCTTTGAGGAATTTACATTGTCAAGCTGAGACGTTTGCTGTGCTTAAACCTTTCCACCCCTCAACAATAGGTCTTTACTTGAACTTCACTTCACTTTGCTTCATTTGCATTGGCAGTTCCCCTGGTTCAAATGCTGTGAGACCTGGTTGCTGACAGCATTTGCTTCAGGAAGTGCAAGCCTCTGATTCTCCCTATAATATTACAATCACCAATTTACTTATTTTTTTCTTACTGCTTGACATTCAGATTTGTGTGTGTGTGTGTGTTGATGACCTGTGTCGCTTTCCCATTAAGTTATTCTGGCTGTAAAAATTATAGAATTGAAAGTGATGTGAAGCAATAGGCTCATTCAGTCCCCTGTTCTGAATACCTTCTCCTTTATGGGATATAGATCAAGAAATATATATTGTCATTTGTTACCCTTTAAATGACAAATCTGTAAAATGTTTGGTTGTTCCATGTGTCAGAGAGAAATATGAAAGACTTACTCAAGCACAGAATACGTCACTGCTGCCTCAACATTGCTGAGGCCGCACCTGGAGAACTGGGTCCAATTCTGGGACCCCCAGTACAAGAGAGACCTGGACATACTGGGGAGAGTTGTATGGAGGGTCGCTGAGATGCTCAATGGACTGGAGCATCTCTCCTAGGAACCTCAGCCCTTCTGTGATTCTGTATGAAAGATTCTGTATGAATTAGATGCTTGAGCTGGAGGCATTGGCTGGAGCTCCCTTCTCTCTTATTTCTGCTGCTTTGTTCTTTTAAGCCCTTAGTCTTGGCTGCTCCCCTCTGAAAAACTCTGCTTGCTAGCAGAACTGTAACAGCACATAGATAATGTACATTTGCCAGTGAGTTCCTTTTTGCTATTTATTTATTTTGATTGCAATTTGAAAAATATATAAAAAATATGTTTATTTTCCCAGCCTCTGAGCACATCTAACAATGGATTAAAAAAGCAGACCAACCCCCTAAGAGCTTTAGCAAACCACTAGCTTTTTCCCATGTGCCAGGACGCATCGTCAGATTTTTCGAAAGTAGCAACACAGACAAAAAGGGCTTTGTGTGGGTGGGCTAAAAGAAGTCTAATGTGTGAACAGGGGACCGGAGCACTTAGGATGCTCTCTTCTCCTGTCTTCCTGCCTCTTGCCTATGATTCTACATAGCAGAGGTATGCACATACATATGCATGTATGTACATGTGTATGTGTTGCTCCAGATACATCTATAACATCCATGTATTGGGATTTGTGCTTTGACTGGCTGCACACCACATTAGCTGTTCCTGACATTTCCTGTTCCAGCTTTCCCCTCTTGAACCACCAGCACTGAGTTTCTTCCGCTTTATTGCTGCCGGCACATAATACAATGCTAAAGATAAGTTTCTAAGTAAGTTCCACGGGTAATTTGTAATGCTTTCTTCCTTTCTAATTACCCCCAGTTAGTGGGAATAATTTTTTTCCTCAGAAAACACAGCACTAAACCAACACTCCAGTACTCGCCTTGACTTTCTGCAGAGGCTGACCTTGAAAAAGTGATCTTCTTCCTAGCGGGAAGCAGAAAATTGTCCTCAGAAGTGCTTCTGAAAATCAAGCCTTTCCTTCTGGAGAAAAGCATGCAGTTTGCATTTGCTGACTCTCTTCATGTGTTGCCAACAAGTGAGGGATGGCCCTAGCCTGACTTTTCCTTCCTCATTATACTCGGTGCATGTTTGCTTCCCTCGTGGGCTGTGTTTTGAATGTGTTTGTTTAGTTTCTCACTGTTTGCCATACTAACTTCTTTATTCTTTTCCTCGGGAGCTTGCTGCATATTTTATTTCTGTCCTGAATCTGCACACTGCTTTGCTTTGGTTGGCTGGGTCTAGTATGCTGATTGTATGAGGATGTCATTTTAACCTCTTGAGGGTTACTGCGCTGTTGAAGAGAGAGGAATTCCAAAAACTAAAACTTTAAAATAACGCCCTACTGACAGCAAAAGGAAAATAAAGAGCCAAAAAAAAAATATATGCATAAGAAAAATTAATAAAACGGGCATGGGATAAAAAAAAAAAACACAAATGCATAATTTCTTCACACAGACGTAATCCAGATGTTATTCAATAAATGAATCACATTTAAATATAAAAGAATCATATTTGTTGCGTTGTATAATCACTTCTTTTTTTGAGTAAGAAAAAAATATGAATAATCCAGTTTTAGTAATTCCCCCCCATTCACAAGAATCCAATTTTTTCTTAGCATGGTTGAAGGCCATTGTGGAATATGATCCTGTTACCTCTGGTAAAAGTCTGTGAGGTCTATCAGCAGCTTTTGACACAAATGAATTTAGGATATTGCTGCTTTTCCACAGAAGCTCTCAGGGATCAGTGGGGTCATTCTGAAGATGAAAACTATCTGCACTCCCTGCAGAAACATCGGAGAGGGCCACAGTGGTTATCCGACTTGCTCCACGTCCCCTCATGGAAAGCCAGTTGTCAATACTGGTGTTGGTGGGATGTCACTTGATGAGATACCTCAGACCTCAGAGGTGAACAGCTACATGCGCCTGATGATTTGTACTGAACAGCACACTCACCAGGCTATAGCCAAGCCTGGGAAGAGCGAATGTCAGAAGGAGAGAAAAAGCTAACTCAAAATAAGTTTGAAGAAAGGATGAGTAGCGCTGACAGATGGTACAGCCCGTTTAGGAAATCACGACTTTCCCCTCCTTCCATCAGTTGCTAAGGAGAGATTATGGATGAGAGACTACCATGGGTATCAGCATTCAGGGCGTGCTTCATGCTGACCACTGCTCGGACACCCTTAAAGCCATCTGACACAACTCCCATCTTACCAACCTCCTTCCTGGGACCGTGGCATCCATCCCCGCAGCTCTTTATTTCCAGGTGGAAGATAGGGATGCTCTACGTTTTAAACTGGCCAGAAAGCTGCTCAGAAGTGTTACCCGGTCCCCCGTGCAGCCGTGCATCTCTGGAGCTGCAAAGGCAAATGGGACCGCATCGGAATATTTCCCCACAGCTTAGTGACTCCACATGCTGTAGCTGCTCTCAGCCAGAACAATGATCTTTCTCTGTGCAGCCTTCCACGGGACAGGCTGCAGCCCCATTAAGGACTGCATTTCCCTCCCTGCCACTCCAAGGGTACTTGCTGAGAGGAGATGAAGTAATGGTCACGACTGAAATGAAACTCAGATGAGTGGAGGAGAATGCGTGTGAAGAACATGCATTTGTGACAGAAATTCATCTGGCAAAGAAATAAAAAGAAAAAATAGCAGAAGATCACTGCTTGATTTAAAAAAAAAAAAAAAAAGATGCAAAATGCATATTGTTTACTCGAGCCTTCCTTCAACAGAAGCAGTGACATACTGCCTGCTAAACTATCACCCTCATCCCCCACTTTAACTATATTATATCCGCTAATTCCTCTAAGGAGAAGAGCTGTGGTAGGTGCATGACAGCCATCCAGTCCTCAGAACTGTTGGAAGCCATATTTTCAGCAGGCTCCTCTCAAATCACATACAGCATACTGCAAAGGGGTTACAGGGTGGCCCCAGCCTCTCTCCTCTCCTGTCTGGGATATAACTGGCCCTTGTTTTAGTGAAGCAATGCAGAAAACTCTGTCTTTTATTTGTTGGCCATGCACAACAATGACAGTTATGACAGGAAGGCGTATGAATTAGTGATGAGCTTACTAATGAAATCTCTACGTAAGAACTGAGACCTGCCAGGTGCATAGGATGCAGCCCCTCACCATTGCAGAGAAGGTGGATGCAGTTACATGCTGCAAACCAGTATTTCATGAAAGGCCTTCAAGGAAGCTCAAAATGACCAGGCTTCAAATTTTTTTTGCAGCAAAAAGCATAAAAGAGAACCCGAGTCACCTTTAATGTTACTGGGAGAACCCCTTTGGCTGGGGTGGAGGTATGGTTTAGGTGACTGGCAGCAAAACGTGCTGCAGATTAAATGCAGGAGGCTATAACACCCGAGATGGAAGGCACAGAAAAAACAGAAGGCTGGGAGAGCTGACAAGGAAGACAGGACCAGTGGTGGTAGCTAGGGAATATACATAGATGTTATGTCTGGAGAGGAAGATAATGCAAAGCAAAGCCTGTAAAAGTGACTGATACAGTTTTAAGGCCACTAGGGAGAGGGAGCAGAGCTGAATGAATGCAGCTGTCATGGTAGGCATGCTTTTGGGTTAGAGCACAGCAATGAGGCTGCGGACAAACATCACTCAGGCTTGTTTCCCAGGACTTCCTCAAGACACACTGCCTCCTCTACTCCCCATAACACAGACTTTCCTTCCTAACACTCCTTTCCTTTTTTTTTTTTTTTTTGGCTTGACTCTGACTTGACAGTAGTGATCTGACTTTCAGGCTGGCACTATATGGCCTTGGTCTTTCCCTTGGGTTTTGCTGCATGGTCTGTAACTTTCGCAGCCAGGCTGCAAGCTCCATAGCGTGCTCGCTGCTCCACCTGAATTTTTATACCTAGCTCTCTGTACTGTGCTGTGCAGACCAACCATTATAGCATGAAGTATAAAGCCCAGAGCATTATAGCACCTACACAGTATCGAAAGCACACCAAGGGTGTTGCACATATAATAACCTACTCAGCTGTAAAAAAGAGTCGCATACATCTATTACAAAAGGGTGTGATGTATAACTTGTATGTAAAGAACAACTCTTGCAACAGGGTTGAAATGCCAGCATAGCAGTCTTCTGGGAAAACGTAGTGATAAAAGAAAGTTTATTTTAATGTTCGGAGGATCTCCTGTGCAACAAGAACACTGTGTTGTGAGCATGCAGAGGAGAGCGGTGCCACCAAAAGAATACAATGACCCAGATGCACTCGAGCTCTGGTCAAATTCAGATGCAGTCAAGAATTTTAAACATCAAACTACACTTTTTTTCTTTTTCTTTTTTTTTTTTTTTCCCTAAAACATTTGTTAGCACACAGAAAGCCTCTTCACTTGGTGAGAAGCTGTGACGTATTTCTAAAGCAAGAAATATCACAGGCAGAGCTGTCACCAGTGAAAAATAATTTGGACCCGAGTGAAAGAAATGGTAAAAAAGATGTAATAGGAAGCCATTATAGGGCACTGGGGGAGGATGAGAAAGCAGGACAGGAAATGTTTATGCAGATAAAGGAAGCCTGCAAAACAACTACAACAGGGATCATAGGAATTTCAATCTGCCTGTCACTGAGTGGAATCGTAATTAGGAAATATCAAATAAGTGTGAAAAGCTGAAGACTTAACATAGCCCTGAATCACCTTTAGGCTGAATGTACAGCTATAGCTAGAAAAGTAACTGCCCCATAAAGCTCACAGCCTGGAGGTCCTTTCTTTTCCCTCTGACTCCAAAGCAGTGCGGGTCCGACAGCATCAGTTCACTGACCTTCTGGGTTACGCTACCGCCTCTGTTTTCTCAGGCTTTCTGCAGATGGCTGGGGGCCGGTATATTCACAGAGGATGTGGTTCATTTAACTTGTGGGGATTGACTCTTGTCATGTTTGTGGGGTGAATGAACTATAAGTTGTTGGGCAGATGACTCGGTGAGGAATGAGACAGTTGAATCTTCATCCTTCTGGATGGAGAAGTGGGTATGGCTTTTCTACCTCCTGAGTTATCATTAAAGTTGGAATATATGATAGGTTATAACCATCATTCTGGAAACTACAGCATACACTAAAAAAAGTTTAGTTCTATTTGCAGTTAAGAAAAAAATTAGTTGCACCATGTTGGCTTTTCTGAAGTGGAAACTCTCCACTGCAAAAGTGCATTAAAGGACACGAGGCTTTGGCAAAATTTTTATGTGATTCAGTCATAAGCACGTATAGCTAAGTGAAAATTACTAGATGTTACTCATGTGATGTTAAAGCACTAGGTCTTGGCACTATTGGTTTTCTGCCCATCCCTAGCTTTTGCTTCCCTTCTGCTCAGGCTGTGTGTATCCTCTGCAGGGCTGCAGGCCTGCCTGTTTCCACCTGGTCCAACCCTTTGCCACTCACAAGTCCTTAATGCTTGCCTCATCCAAAAAAAAAATGTGTTCTACCACTGGGCTGGCATAAATCAGGCAGAAGTCTCCTCTGATGCTGGACTTGAACAGACTCAAGGAACACCATCCCATACTTAGGTCTCCTGCCAGGAAATAAGAAGAGTTGCAAGAGTAACCACCAAATATTTATGGGCAGTAGTTCAAAGCATGCTCTTCTGAGAAGCTGAAGCTGTAAAATTCACTGTGCTAGACTTCATTTTTACAAAGACGCATCTGAACAAGCATCTGGTATGTTCCGATTCACAGCACGCGTCTGCTAGTGCATCATTCTGCACAGCAGTAATGGCTTTAAGATTCGTCCTGACTATGGTCAATATTCCTACTATCATGCAGAATTTTCCTTGGCATCTGCTAAAATGGGTAACACATTTTTATAGTCTTTTATCTTTCCTGGTCTCCGTTTGTCCTGGGGAAAGATTATCTCGTCTGATATTTCTCAAGACATAATTGTTGTGTCTGAAATCATGCTTGTTTGTGTAATAGGGATTGCACTCGAGAGCCTTGCAGGGTATTACAATGAGCACTGATTTTACAAACAGGCTGGAATTCAATAAGGTTTTGATGAAACAGTGGGAGAAGAGTGCAGATAGTAAATCCGCTTCCCTCTGGTTGCGTGTATACACTGGGTTCCAAAAGCTCTGCAGAAAGGTTTTCAGGAACAAACTTTCTCCTAGGAAACTCTCATTAGCAGTCAGCAGAAATGCCTGCTTTATTTTAATGAGGCCTTTCAGCAGTATCACACAAGTTTTCATAACCTCAAAGCTCATCTTTAAATAGCTGTGACAATCAAGTCAATTATGCTCCCATGGACCAGTTTTTAGTTATCTTTGGTTGGCTTCCACTAAAAACATGTTTGTGTCCCTTTGCTGTCAGCTGAAACTTTTTTTTTTTTTTTTGAATTCAGTATTATTTATCTCACTAATTACCCTTTAACTTGTTTTTGCTTATTTTTACAAATTTCCTTTTTTCCTCCTACTAGATTATTTATTTTTTTTTTAGGCTTACTACTTTTTGTTCTACTGACCTTTTGATCCCTGAGCCTATGAGGCTCTGGCATATTTTTCCTATTTAAAATACAAAAGGAGGCATTTCAGTTTCCTTTTCCCAAATATTTTCTGCCAGCAATTCTCTTTTGTATGATTGCTTAATTTGATTTCCCCAACTCATAGAAATTTATGTTAAAATGGGAGTAGAAGAGATTCTTTTGGCAGCCTGCCTGCTGAACTCTAGAAATGCCACTTCACATAGTCCGTGCTTTGGATGGTTGAATGACTTCCAGGGGATATTGCTGGGAAGACAAACCTGATGACTGAAGCCTTTTAATCTGAGGAGAGGGGAAGCCATCACAAATTGCTTCATCCTAACCATCACGTCTGCTTTATTCAGAGTGCTTCGTCTTGGCAAAGCAATTCTTTCCCTTTGCCACTTAATTTGCTGGTAACTGTGATAACTCAGCTAGAAGGTACTAACGGTGCCGGTGGATTTTGGGATTCTGACACGCAGACTACTAAACATAGTAAGCTATGCCATACAGACAACTAGACAGTTATTAGATAGTAATAACTTTAAACCTGTGCTTACCGGGAACTCCTTTAAGACGGGAATCTGGCAGCAAAAGGATGACCCTGCTGTCACTTCGCGATCATGTCCCAGACAAGATGATCCTAATTACGCATCTGAGAAGTCCTGAAAGCATTTTAGTCTTTCCAAGGGGAAAACAAGCTGCAGGTTTACACTCAATCTTTGTATGGAAAATGTTAAAATTCACAGCAGATTTCCAGGCGTCTGCTTCCCAACTGTTTTTAAAATCTAGGTCATTATATATAGGTGGCATCAGATAAGTCTCCATGGAAGTTCCAGAATGTTTTAAACAGCAAAATGGGTCAGCATTCATTAAGGCCTGTAACTGTCTAACACACGTTTTTCATGTGTGTCCAGTCCAAGGAAGGTTAAATAACTCTCTTGACCTCTTATTTAATGTGAATTTTTAACTTCGCATGCCCTCACAGCTGTGTAAGGTGGCATTTTTTAGGTAAATTCCCTTGCTATTTCAATCTGTTTGCAGTCTGCTTACCATCCAGTGTGAAACCTACACTAAACTAAATCCACCTGTCTTGTTCCAGACCTTGGCCATTCACACGCAGTGCAGTCACTCCTTGATTGTCTGTGAGCTGAAACGTTAGATGTTCCTCACGCAGTGCTGCTTCTTTGATTCTGTTACTATTATTCTCCTCTACGATGACCCAGCCTGGGGCTGAAAGAGCGCTTCCAAAACACGCTCCGCTCCCTGTGAGCTCTTTTATGCAAAAAACTTCCTGCACTCACATGCCTGCCTGCAAACAATTTTCAGATTAGCGAGCAGGACACATTAATCTAAGCCATGGCAGAGCAGGGGTGCAGGACAGTGCAGTCCTGGAGGGGGTCCCGGCCAGGTGCTGAAGGGGACTGATGGAGAGGTGTGCTTGTTGAGCCTGCCAGAACCAACACTAGGGAATCAGAGAGCCCCCAGAGCCAAGTATGTAGGTGATTTCAGAGGTTGCTTCATGGGTAAGGCACTGCTGCATGGGGAGAGCAGTGGATACTCTCAGTCTTGGACTTTCTACAAGTAAAAGTTATTTTACTGGTGGAGGAAAATGTTGGAGGTATGTTGGAAAATGCTGCCATAACTGGCTGCAGACATCATCTTGGGAACCTTTATCCTGGTTCCTTTGACCTGGATCGGGTCCACTACTTCTGGGCATACTGCAGTTACAGGCAGGACTTGATTACCTGCCTCAGGGGCAGAGCCACAGGGGCCTCCAGAAGCCCCAAGACAGCACTGCAAGCCAAAAGCCTGCCACATTTTCCCACCACCGAGTGCCTGAGGATCCAGCTGAGAGCCAGGCCAGCGTGAGAAGGTCACTGCTAGCTACAGTAAAATGCGTGACATTTGGCAGCTCCATCACTCCACAGCCTATTGAAACCCATAACAAAGTTCCCAAAGCCTTCAGAGGACTGCAGATCCATCCTGCGGGCTGCTTTCCTTGTGCCATGACAGCACTCCAACAACTCAGGTCATGTCACCACCTTCTGAATGTAAATCCACCTGCAGCTGAAAATCTGAAACTTTTTTTTTTTTTTTTTTTTTTTTTGTCTTTTCCTGAGCTTTTTACATCTGAGGCTTTTTTTGCAAGTACTTGCCCACAATTGCCAAAGAATAAATGTGTCTCTTTTTTCAGTTCTTTCCACTGTGGCCAATACAATCTCCTTGTGTCCGCCACAAATTCCTCTACCACTGAGCTCTTCTGGCATCATGCTGCCTTGTGTTTTTAGGGCAGAGGGGAGAGTTTTTTGTGTGGCCATTTAATGCATGAGAAAACTCATGAATAGACTTTCTTGGTTACTGAAATGCTGTTTTTTTATCCGCAGAATAGAGAGGGCCTAACACTGCAAGCTTCCTCCTGCTGCCCAGGCAGTTGCCTACAATTCCAATTTGGCTTGGATGCTTTTTTGGGAAGGAAAGAATAGTTACAACTCCTTGCTGGGGCTAATCAATGAAACAATTGTATTTTGGTGGTGTGAGCACCGGTGTGTGTTAAACTGTCAGGAAGCCACACACACGTATTATCGCTAGGCCAGCAGGTGAGAAGCGGAAGGAACGAGGACAGTGACTGTGAATACGGACCAGATCTAAGCTCACAGCATTACTGAAAAAACTCACAGCTCATTTTGAAGCAGTGGAAATACCCAGGTCTTCCACAATGGCATATCTGTGACTTTGCAACCTGTTGCTGTGAAATTAAGTTAGATGTCAAGAGCAGGTGGTAATTCCTTCAGCTAAGGCATACAAAACAGCAACAGGTAGACAGCTCAACCAGAGCATTAAAAAGATTTTGTGCAACTAACAAATATCTAGATAAAAATAAATAGAGGAATGATATTGTGTGCAAGTTGAACCACTTTAAAACAACCAAGTGCAAAGGTCTTCAGGCACTGTCGGTGGCTCCTTAAATCTCTGGGAAGCAGCTCTCTCTTTCCTGGCTGTGGAAGTGGAATTTTCTTCCCTGAAGATGGCTAGAAGCAATACAGCCATCTACTGACTGACAAGGTTAACCACAGCATGTTTATGTGCTTGTCATTTAACTCTGTCTCTTATTTCCATCCTAAAATTGTGGCCTGTGGAAAACTGGTTTTCGGCAGAAGCTAATTACTGCAGCACACAGTTATTAGCTGATTAGTACCTTGCTGTCTCTCCTTATTACTCACTGCTTTGACATCTGGTTAGGTAGCTGTGTGCGTAAACACCTCTCTACAAGCTAAGATGGCTTCACATCATGCAGTTGACATGACACTCCCACTGCCTCTGCTGCTGTGTAGGGACAAGAGGGAATCCTAATCACAACACACATTTCCGTGGAAGAATGAGACAATACTCCCTGGTGTCTGTGGCTTTCCTGTTCCACTTTTGACACCGCAGCGTGGTGTTTGATGAACCGTGATCCCATTGTAGGTGTCAGGGCGTCACTCCGGACACTGGTGACTGAGAAAGGCCAACACAATGCTGATGGAGCAACCTGGCAAAATATGCGTTTGACTCAGGTATTATGCAGGATATTTAAACTGCATTTATCTGAGAGCTGGTCATAGGTTGGGTGATTGATTCAGGTGCTTGAAAATGGAGGCTGATGTGTGAAACCCTGTATGTTACTTGATGTGTAGCCTTGCAGATCCTAAGACCCTGCAATCTTGCAGAAAGTGCATGTCCTGCCACAGACTGTTAAAACAAACAATCGATGAAAAACATTTTGAGTTCATACGACTATAACGAAAGACATGAAAATGGAAATTGAATGTAAGTGGATGAAATAACACTCTCAAAGACAATTTATATTGCACATAGATCCTGGATGGATGTCAGGACATTCCCCTTTGCCAAAAGATTTTTCTAGTCCATAAGGACTAGAACTAAAGTTTTGGTTTATAATCTTGTAAGGCTCAGCAGGAACAGTGTCTGTGTCAGCAATCTGAAAAAAAATACCTGGCATACTTGGGGCACGAGTAGCTGGTTGAGCAGTCCAAAAGGCATTCCAAAAAAACAAAAAACAAAAAACAAAACAGGGTGAGACAGCGCACTGTGTAAATATAAAAACAGTATTATGTTGCTATGAAATGCCTGCAGGGATCAAGGCTGACCAGGGTCATCAGCTCTGCACAATGAGCCTCACAACAGCTTACAGAACGTGTTTTTTACAAAAGGTGAATGAAGTCCTATAATCCTCCCTACGTTTAGGAGGAGCTGAGCAACCTCCAGCGTGTCTGAGAAAGCTTGAAGCGCTCTGCAGGCAGAAGTGGCAGGAGTTCGCTGACCTACATAGGCACATATGGCTCCTACCCTTGCTGGAACTGGAGCATCCAGATTTATACAACTAACGCTTCTCTTTGATGTGTCACTCTGAGGAAATTTTAACTATGTTTAATCCCTATCACTTACACAACATATAAGCTGAAATCCCCTTTCACAATTTGTAGAACAACCAAAAGCCAGGGCATCAGGAATTACAGCTAAAAGATCACTTCTAGATTATTTTATTCTGTGTCTTGCTATTGCATATGATGTGTTACTATAGAAATTCAGAACAAAGTGTGAAGCTCCATACATATAAGCAACAAACATTTGAGACTTTAACTGAGACTTGAGACTCTCCTTATGATACTCATGAACTTGTAAAACTTTCTTTAAATAAGGGCATGATACTTAATGGATGGAGATAAATATTGTGCTATTCTAAACTCTTCTATAACTACAGGAATAGCATTTCAGGCTGAGAAGGCTGTATTTTCCAGGGGACAGATGTCAGGGTGACACCTAAAAAGACAAACAAGCATAGAGAAACATTGGAAACAAAATATTTGGAAGCATTTGGAAGCAAAACCTAAAACAGCTTGTTTCCACTCAGAAATAAATGAGAATGTCATCACAACAGACGAGACAATGGCTCAGACAGAACAAATTATAAATATTCAAAATATATGGATTTCCAGAACAATTGGATCTTGACTCTGTAGATACTTATACACAAGTGGATGCACTGAGTTTCCTGCAATTGTTCATTCATTAAGTTAATTGTTTGAGTCTGTAAGTCCCCAGTCATGTGCAGTGAGATTTGCAAACTTGTAGGACTGGAACTTCAAAAATCATGAATTCTTCTGAAGAGCCACGGTTCCTTTTCTATGGTCTGGATGGCACTTAGCATGCATTTGGTCATTTCTGCTATAAATAATGAGCCATATATGTAAAGTTATAATGCATAAGCTAAGACATTTCATAATCATGAGAACTGGCAGTTCTCAAAAGATTTTCCTCTTCACCCTCACTAAGGCACATTCTGCAATTTGTATTCTCTCTCAACAAGTAGTGAATTATTTATGGGGCTATTTTCAACCTGTGGAACATTGACACATGGTGTACAGTAGCACGGGAGACAGAAATGTGAAGGGCAGAGCTAGGAGGGATACTGCCACGAAGCAATGACTACACTAGAGCTGTGAGCAGTTGCCTTGCTAATTCCAAGCATTTTCACCGCTCTGCTTCCCCTACCCTATCCCCACCTGGACACTTCCGTAATCCCACACCTAACTCCATCTCCTGTCCTTCATACACTGCTGGAAGAAGGCTCTCATGCTGGGCCACACTGAGCATGGATCATGGCAAAGAAAGCTTGGTAGTAGCAATGCTGCTCTGCTCTGCCCTGGCCCTTTCCTTCACGCCATGTCCCAGGAGATGGGAAAGCTCCTGGGGACAAATGGTGCTCGGGCAGTTAGTGGAAGAGCTGTTCTGTAATAAGAAAGCTGGGTATTTACTTACATATTTTAATTCTTTCCATGCGTGTCATTTCCTGCTCTCACCCCCTAAATTTTGTGCAAACTGAATAACGGGAATTTGGCCTCATGTCTGAGATTTCTGGATAGCTAGCAACCTGACTGGATCTGCAATGGTGCAGATCAAATGATGCCTGTCCTGATAAATGGCAAGCACACAGCTACTCATCAACTACACTTTAAGTGAATATAAATCTAAGGCATCTGGAGCATGTCATGCTTACTGCACAGGTGCTAGTTATCTGGCTTTGTGCCACCACATGCCTGTATCTGTGTTTTGGCCCTGTTTTGGAGCTGAAATTAGAGATGCTGGCACAAACTTTATGCAAGATAAGATAAAACCATTTCAAAATATGTGACAGAGGCCTTGTAATGTACATCAGCAACCTATCAGGTTGCAGAACTTTTCCTTGGAGCATGGAAAACTCTGGCCACCATTAAGTTGCTCACTTTCCTTCCTAAGTTTTTAAGCCTGAACACAGTCAAAAGGGAGATGTCTCTCCAATGACAGTAACTGGTATGTTGCCACTGGTCCAGGCGAGTCCATCACTGCTTCCTGGAGGTGGAAGGGATGATACCCTCATAGGCAATGTTTCAGCTTGGTTCGTTGTATATCACGGAGAATAAAACTGGTATCTTTTCTGCTGCACACTTCTTCGATGAGGGAGAAGTTGCTTCATTCCCCTGTAAGCTGTGCCCTTCCCTAACCAATTTCTTCCTTTTACTGCTCCCATGATAGGACTTGGCAGTATCTTGAGGTAACAAGTTTCATGGACTAACTAGAAGCTACTGTAAAAAGAGCTAAGAAAAAGGGCCCCAATTTATGAGATATCCCTCGGGATTTATTATTTCTGTGGTTATGGGACCCAGAACTCTGGGGCAGCACATGCTGTGCAAGGATGTTATGCACAAATGAACACAGAGTCTGCAGGGTGTTCTGCACCTACCTCATTTCATACTTGTCTGTGGAGCACAACGGGCTAGTTACCTGGTCAACAGCTAGGCGCTGTGGAATATGGTCTCTGCCCCAAAGGGCTTGTAACCTCAAAAGTAAGCCAAGCAAATAATAGAAAACAAGGAAACATTTAGAGAGTAGCATTTGGGAGTAGTATTTCAGGTCTTGGTGTCACTTTATCATAGATTACCCTATCAGTGGCTGTGTAGCATCTGACTGCAATTTCTTTAATGTGAGCAGCCTGCTGGGTCCCTTAATGTTACCTGGGCATCAGATGAATAAAGATGCTGTGGATGAAAGGAGCAGTTGGATCAGAGCACTGATCTCCTTAGCAGCCTCTGGTGGGCAATAAGGTCAAAGGCTTTTTTAAAGTTAAAAATCAATTATGTTACTAGATTTTCTTTTATTCACTGCCCTGCAGAAGAGATCACCTTTTGTAGCAATGCTGACTTGCCTCCAAAGCAGGTTTAATTTGAGCCTGTGCAGTAGGAAGAAATAATAGCAAAAAAAAAAATAAAATCCAAATAAAACTCCATACTAGATTTGTAAGTAAAAAGTTGTTCTACACAACAATACTCCATGTGTGAGATCAAATCAGAGATCTGATTTGAGACACTGATACACAATGGTCTAGCTCTTTCATTCTGCGATACTGAGGGTACAGAAGGGTCCATTCAAGCTCTGTCTCAGAAAGCTACTGCTCACTTCAATCTTCCCTATCCCTGCAGCTATTTAAGCAGCATATTTTCTCTTCAATTTTCCTTGAAACAATAAAATATCAAGACATTTTCTTACCTTGTGTCTTTTGAAGCACCTCACGTGTAAGAGCGAGTGAAAATTTACAGATAGCTGCTGTTCCTCTTCGAATCTTGAAGCTATCAGCAGGACAAAAATATCCACAGATGAATCACATTTTCGTTTAACCTTTTCAAGAAGTTATTCCTTATACGTTTGTCCCCAACTGGACCGCCTGTGTTAGTGACACTGCACCCAGTAAGACATGTTTTCAGAATTAGTCAATGAAAACGTCTTCATGTCCCTGCTGGAAACCAGGCACCTGGTCTTGCAGCATTTTCTTCCCTAAGTTACCTGTTGAAACCGTACAGCCCAGCTGAACTCATTGGAAGTGCATGTCCATGTTGCAGTCCATTACCAGCCACCTATTGCAGGCTGGTGTCATTGTCTTTGCAGGTGATTTGCAAGTGAAAGTGAGAGTAGCTCCCTCAGCATGCTCCATTTGAATTCTCTAATGGCTAGAATGGAGAAAGCTCATTAGCTTTCTCATCAGCACAGAGTCTGTAAGGTCTCTCTCTCTGTCTCTCACTCACTACCCACTGAGTCCTTGAAGCCCTTGTCCTTGAAGTCCTAGTATTTTAATATCTACCACTGCTACCCCTTCTGAAATTTGACAGAAATTGGCCACTGTGCTCAAAGGTTGGTGGGAGGATTGACTGCTCCAAATAGAAAGCATTGCTGTGTAAGTCCTGACAAACAACTGAGAAGCCCATTATTATGTTTAAATACATATGTTTTTTGGCTTGTTTACTTACAGAAATATCAGGACTGACAAATTGTATACCACTTGGTGAAAGACTCAAGCATGTAGTCAAACCAGTCTGTCAGTGTTGCTAATATGGCAACGAATGACTTCCAGAGACACTTTTGCTCATGGAAATCCATTATGGAAATTCCTACTGTACTGCTGGGAATTAGCAAAATTTCTAGTTTAGAGGGGCTGAACACTTACACTTCCAGCGTAAGAAAACCCATGTGAATATGACCTTTCCCTTAGTTTTCTTAAGGAATAAACCTCTCTGGCTTCATATATACAACTGAAAGGAGTAAACCAGCACAAACCCACTCTTTCCTCCTTGTACATCAGGTTTTCCAGATCATTAAGCAAAATGTAAATCCTGAGATTTAGAACAGAAAAACCTGGCAGGGTCTGAAATGCTGATTTCCTCAAAGAAGAAAGAATGTGGGAATCCTTGTCATCTTTTCATAGTAAGGCAGGCTTTTTAAAAAGTCTTCTTGGAGGAAACTAATGTTTCTGAGTATACAGATTCTCAAGTTCCTTCTGGTTGTGATCCCACTTACAGGTCAGTAATTTCACATGACCCCAACTCTTAGTATAAATAGTATAAGAAGCTGAATTTGATAGTTACAATGCAGCTTGTAACTGCTATGGTTTTGCTTCATGTTACAGCTCCTAGGCTGAACCCTACTGGTTTGTTTAGGGTAGTGAAGGAAAAATGTGGTCCAAAGTTTTTAGACTGCACACTCATCACTCTAATCAAAAAAAAAAAAAAAAAGATATTTTACTGGCAGTAACCTGATGTTTTGGTCTACTTCAACTTGATAAATGGATATCAACATAGATTAATGATACAGTCTATCTTCTGTACTTTATCTTCTGTACTTAACTTAGTTTAAGAGCCTACAGATGTAAGATTGTAGATACTCTGAACTGCTCTTTGGATAGTCTAAAAGCTGCATGAGAAACCTAAACTCTCAAATCAGGTACCTGTTCAAAGCACTTAAGTCAGAAGATGATCCCTCAGTCTCTCATAACATTTTAATGTATGAATTAATTTATTAAAAAAAAAATGTTTTGGCATTCACTTTCTGGAAGATGATTTGCTGTAATTTTTTCTCTGAACTACAGAGATTGCAAAGATAACATAAATGCAAAAAGGTTTTTGTGGTTTTGTCATGGTGTGTCAAGTCAGACAAGTAGTAAGAATAATGACTTATCTTGTATGTTAAAATACCAAATGCTTTCTTGGTGTGATTTTTTATAATGCCACACAATGTATATTCAAAAATGTTTTCTGGAATGTAAATTAATGTCAGACTCTTTTTACTAGCTTTGAAGTTTTAGTCCTACAATGAGATCACCACAACTGTATTTCTGACCCCGAGAGCCTGTGCATGGTACAGGGACATACTCCTGGAACTAGCATATCGTGCACCATGTAAGAGAGCTTATTGTTCTTAGGTTGTGGTTCAGGAGATTTCTTGGTCATCCCAAGACTGGAGTATTTCATAGTAGGCGATGTGCTACGGAAACACTCTCTGTATGTAGAGAAGTAAATTGTCAAGCAATACAATTGCAACCATCCTAAATGTAAAACTTATAATTTGCCTTGATTTTTGTGTATTAATCCTTGCAAGTGCTCGCCTAGACAATCCATTTTGGTGCAACACCATATATACAAATATTTGACTAGTGCTTGGAAATTCTATTCTATTCCTGGAAATTCTTGGGAATTCAAGTTGCATGCCCTGGTAATGACAGTATGTTCAGAATTTCAAATGCAAATAATTGTTCTTCTATGACAAGGCAGGGTACTGGGAAACTGATAAGAGCATGTTAAATAATGTATCTGAAGGTGTTGTCAAGTACCAGTTGTCCACATTTATGATTTGATACGCCATCTCAGGAATAACAGCTGCTATAGAAACACAGAGGTCCCATGCTCCGTCTCGAACATGAGGTTTGTGAAGGAGGGCTTGTAGAGGCATTTAATTACAAGTCAATAAACACAAAGATTAAGACTTATTTTCTCTTCTTTCACAAATTCTCTCATTAGCTGTTGTCTGCATCCTGTTTTTATTTAAAAGAAAGAATTAGGTCCTGCGTGGTAATGATACTCCTTCAGGCTCTTCTTTTCATCTTTCCCTCCAGACATCGGAGTTCCTTGGGGCTCCCTCTTTATCAGCAACCTTTTCTGTGCCTGTTGTTCATACTGCTGAGATTAAAAAACGCTTTGATTCCTTAGCATTAAAGGGACACAATCGACTTGGATTGTTCAGCCTGGAGAAGAGGAGACTGAGGGGAGACCTCATCATTGTCTACAGCTCCCTCACGAGGGGCGTGGAGAGACAGGCGCTGAGCTCTGCTCTCTGGGAACCAGAGAGAGGACCCGAGGGAACAGCTTGAAGCTGTGAAAGGGGAGGGTCAGGATGGGTATCTGGAAAAGGTTTTTCACCAAGAGGGTGGTCAGGAACTGGAACTGGCTGCTCAGGGCAATGATAACAGTACTGAGCCTCCCAGAGTTCAAGAAGCATTTGGACAATGCTCTCAGACATATCTTCCCTTCCCTTCCCTTCCTCCTTCCCTTCCCTTCCCTTCCCTTCCCTTCCCTTCCCTTCCCTTCCCTTCCCTTCCCTTCCCTTCCCTTCCCTTCCCTTCCCTTCCCTTCCCTTCCCTTCCTTCCCTTCCCTTCCTCCCTTCCCTTCCCTTCCCTTCCCTTCCCTTTTTTCTTGTTGGGTGGTCCTTTGGGGACCAAGGAGTGGGACTAGATGGTCCTTGTAGGTCCCTTCCAACTTGGATATTCTGTGATTATGTGATTCTTCTTGAAAAATTAAACCTGACAGAAAGTCTTGTGCGTTCTGTCATTACATCTGAAGATTGAAGGAAATAGAAGGAAAGCTTTGTTTCTTGGTTTAATGGATACTTGAAAGTATTTTTATAATCAAGTTATTGTTTAGATCTAGTTAACGAGAACAGCTTTTACTGCAGGGATCACCTGCAGAAATACCAGCTTTCCCTTCCTCGTTGTCATTTTGTCTGTCAGATTTGAAGGTTACTCTTTAACAGATTTTCTTCTCAGAAGCTGAAAATCATGCCAGTGATGACAAGTTTTGCAGCGCTAAACATCTACTCCAGAAACCCACTTTATGATTGTACACAGGCCTCTTGTGTGACATCAGGCAGGCACCCCCCTCCCCCCGCCATCCAGGCTTGTGACACAGCTGGTTGGCGACCCCGCCTGGTCGCCATTTCCTACCCCCCCCCCCCGCCTCAACCCCCCCCCCCCGGCCGCCATTTTGTGTCCCCCCCCCGCCCAGCGCCTGCGCTCTGCGCCCCCCAGCGGCGTGCGGGGGCAGCGGCGGCAGGAGGAGGAGGAGGAGGAGGAGGAGGAGGAGGAGGAAGGCCGCGCTTCCGGCCTCCATTTTACGAGAGGGAGGGAGCGAGCGCGGCTATGGGCGTCCTCGGCTGCTTCAGGGAGCTGGGCCCCGGCTGCTGAGCCCGCCCCGAGCTCCCGCAGCTTCCAGTGGCTTGGCGTGGCCCCGGGGGGTGGGGAGGGGGAGAGCTGAGGGGCAGGGTCGGCATGGAGCAAGGCGTCGTGGGCCCGCCGGTCACCCTGATCATCAAGGCCCCCAACCAGAAGTACACTGACCAGACCATCAGCTGCTTTCTGGACTGGACCGTGGGCAGGCTGAAGTCGCACCTCTCAAAGGTGTACCCCAGCAAGCCGGTGAGCTGTGGGGGCGGCTGCGGCGGGGGTGCCGCGGGGTCTGGGCTGCGGGCCAGGGGTTAGGCTGGGCGATCCTCAACGAGCACCGGACCCGATTCCCCAGAGCCCTGTCTGGGGGAGCAGCGGCTGGCTCTCTGCTTTAAACAAGAGCAGGCTAGCTGCCCTTCTGCACCATCAAAACAAAACAATATTCTGAAAGGTGGTAGCGCTGGAGATGTTTATTAACGCTCTGCTTCCATAGGAGCTGGGATGTAGCTATTTTGCACACACATTTCTGTAAATATAGCAGCTCTCTCTAAACTGATTCCAGTGGTATAGCTAAAATGATCCCCTCAGGTTCACTAGGTGGTGGCGGAACAGGTAGGTGATTATTGATGATGTTGTTTAAAACATGCAGTCGGGCAATCCCTCCAGAATTCTGCCTTTTTTCCTTTGGGGTGATGCTTTTCGAGTCAGGGCTGGAAACAGTTTCCTCAGTTGTTTACAAACTTGTATGGAGGTTGTGGCTGTTTTGAAACTCTGCATAAAAATCTACAGCTCTTTAGTCCCCGAGGAAAACGCAGTTTATTTTGAAGTTCTGTAAGTTCTGAATCGAGCAGTTACAAAAAACTAGTGTTGCTAAACGGCAGTGATACAGAACAGTGCATTTGATTTTATGAAGATTTGTTCCAGAAAACCATATAAAGGCAGTGTTGACTCTCCCTCTACCTTGCAGCAGCATGTAGGGCCTAGACCTCGCTGTGCAAAACATCAGACAAAGCTTCCATTTATATGGTAAATGATTCTTTTGTTGAACTAGGTGAATACTAACTATTGGCACTGTTAGTTTCTTTTTTTGGGGGTGGGGAGGAGGGTAGAAGGGGAAGTAAACAATATCTTTGTGTCTGAAAAGGATTTCTTCCTTCTGGAGAAAGCAGGAGAACAGCAGTCATCAATTTAGGCAGTATCGCTGATAGATTGAGTTCTGTGAAGTGACATTTAAGAACTTGTGGATTTAGTTGTTGTTGGTCTCGGTAATTCTCCTCTGAGAGCAGATCCACCGTAAAAGAAACAAATAAGTGACTTCAGTTGACTGCTGCTTCTTCCTTGCCAGAACATACTCCTGTGACGTATTTGTGTTTAAACGCTACTTTTCTGACTCATCCAGTGATCTTGCTGAATTGGGCTTCTAGGAAGAATCCTTAATGAACAA